TCTTAAAAAATGGGCAGTATCAGAAGCATGTTGGGCTGAAGTAAGCGGGAGACTAGCGCGCGGGGCGTAACGGAGGCTGATGTCCGGGCTGGGGGGAGCTTACCTGTCCCCGGGGGGGGGCATTTGTCACAGCGAGGGCCCCAGGCTTTGCCCACGCTGCAGCAGCAGAGCTGTTTGCTCAGCTGGGCAGAGACCGGGTGCAAGCACTGCCTCCCGGAGCCCACCAAGCGGAAACAAGCGCCCTTCTCCTCCTGGATGGCAGGTGTGTTGGCTGAGGGAGGGGGGGGAAGGGGAAGGGAGGAGCAGGAAGTGGAAAACCCCAGTGCAGGTGATAGAGAGAGGGAGAGAGAGGAGAAACAGAGAGGTTCCCATCACCAGAGCAAACTTCCCCTCGGCCACAAATGCAATCTATTCGAATAAACCATGTTTATCCTCCTGAGACCCTGCGTCCTCATAAGAGGACATAGCATTTTTGCCTCTCTTTACCATGATACTTCTTTTTTCTTTCGACTTTGACCTCTTGGCCTCATAGCAGACGCTATCAGACACTCTAAAGTAAAATGGGTGCTATACATTTTCAACCAATAATGTTCTTATTGCGTAATTAAAAAATTGTTAATAAGTAATTTGGACTGTCAGAACAAAATTCCAATAACATTTAATTAGATACATAAACATATTAAATATAAAGATAAACCCACTGAGCCTATACGAAGCACAACTACCTGTACCATGACAAATTTTAGTTATTAAACTTAGTAGGTTGTACTAATCCCATATATCTTTAAAAAAGCAAAAATGCACACCAATTAAAATCTGGGGTCTCAGGAGGTTAAGCTAGCTTTGCAGCTGAAATCTGACAAATGAAGCCACACAAACAACAGTCACTACCTATCACACCAACAAAAAAACAACATCTGCGTAAAAGAAGAAGAAAAAAGCATCTCACGCCGTTGTTCCATGCAGAGAAAGCATTAAGACATGCAGCAACATGAGTTTTTCATGGCATCAAAAGTCCAAGCGGAAGCCATCAGAGTGGAGAAATTAGGCCACGCTAATGTTGTTAGTTTGCCTTCCACATTCTACGTGTTTTTTGAATATTTGTGTTATATGCCAACACAGAGATATTCATTTGCACATAAACAGCTCTGAGAAATTCAGATCAACATTAAAATTTCTTATTTTTTGCGATTGGAAGATGCTTTTTTCCTCCCAAAGTGACAAAGGAAAAATGGAGAAGCACCGTTCAGATGTGTAATATAACCATTTAGAAAGTTAGTTGGTAAGTCAAGTGGCAGGGAAAGGTGAGTTTAGTTTGTGGTTAGTCCTTAATGAGAGGAAGCACTCATTGAAAAGCAAAGTCTTCAGAAGTTATAAAGAGTGGAGAGTCTTTGGGTGGCATTTCCCACTAATGTGGGAGCACAGAGAGTGTCCTCTTAAGAAGCAAACGAGCCCAGGAGCATCATTCAGAGCTGCCACTGCCATTGCTCATAGAAATATGAGTACTCTTACCTGTGTAACATCCCAGGGAATCATATACATAGCCAGTAAAAAAAACCTATTCAAGTTACTCTGATTTTGAATGTGCAATGCCAGTGACTGGTCAAGATAAAGTAGATATTTAGCTCAGTGGAACCCCTTTTTGCTGGTTGGTTGAGCTATGTATGCTATAATATGCCATAGCTTCCCATTTCTGGGATCAATACATCTTAATAGGTGACATTTTTATTACCATAAATAAAGAACAAGAACAGGGCATGACATGTTGCATGCATCCCAGCATGACTCTTAGTAAAACATTCTCGCTCTTAAACTGGAGGGAGGCCCAGACCTGTTTGCCATAAAAAGCATTTCCAACACTGCTGGCCTGCTGAACAGATGGATATTTTGCATTCAGACATAAAACGAATCCCCTGCCTTCAAAGCTATGATAGCTATTCTGGCCACAGCGTTTCAGGACTTACATATGCACGAGGTGAGGGTGGGGTCCAGCACATAGTCGGGGTTGCACATGCACCTGTAGCTCCCCACCGTGTTCACACAGTTCCCATTGGTGCACACACCCTGCACCTGGCACTCATCGAAATCTGCCGGGGAAAAAGGGGGAAAAAGCATTTTTAGAGCGTCTCCATCCACTAGATGCTAACACAGAATAACGAGGAGAATCAAAGTAAAGCTACAGTATCTAAAGGGATCTGTTGGTTTCTTTGGCTAGGACACATTTTTTTTAATTGGCTCTGTAGGAGTTGGACTAATTTGAAGTTTTAATGAAGTGGAGTTGGTTGGATTATGACTGTATAACATTTAACTGCATTGTTTTGATTATAGGAATATATACAGTGGGGGAAATAAGTATTTGACCCTTTGCTGATTTTGCAGGTTTGCCCACTTACAAACAATGCAACGATCTATAACTTTAATCATATGTACATTCTAACAGTGAAAGACAGAATCCCAAAGAAAATTCCAGAAAATCACATCATATGAATTTATAAAAATTGATAACCATCTGATGAGGAAAAACAAGCATTTCTTTATAAGTGGGCAAACCTGCAAAATCAGCAAGGGCTCAAATACTTATTTCCCCCACTGTATATACAAAGTTATATAGATAAGAACTAGTTGAATTGAGCTGAATATTATTTATGATTTAACAAAGCATTTTAAACTAATCTGCCCAAGAAAATAGTCCCAAACAAATGTTTTTCAGTATATTTTTGTCGGCATGAAAGCTTGTAATTAATTTGTGATGCTTGCTGAATAATTTATGTTTATATTTCACAAATGGGTTCAAGGTTTGGCCTGTTCATGGAGGCTGTTGACTTATGAATTACAGAGCTCAAATTTTGCACACCGACTCTGAATACAGACTAAAAAAAGCAGGACGGGTATTAAATGTTGACAGCCGACTTTAGGGTTAGCCGAAAAATTAAAGCACGCAAACATTGACTATAGAGTTTAAAGCGAGCTACAAAGAGGAGCATTTAGCTCGTGTTACATGGAAACTAAATGCCACCGAAAACACTTTAAAAAAGGAAGTCATAACTAAAGAGAATACCGATCCAAGCGGATGAATTACTGGCCCAAAGTAAGAGCTG